GAAAGATTTGAATCGCATATTGCAAAGACACAAACAAAGTCATGGGCACAGAGAATGTCTTTAGCTTTTGATTGACGTGGCAAATTCTTCTACAACAGCGAAAACGTTTTTCGGGTTTATCAATAACATCTATTTGTTTTTTTAAAGTCGGGAGAGCGTTGAGAACTTGCAAAAACTAAATTAAAATTGACTTCAAAGTCTCTCTCCGAAACAAGATGAGAGCGTAGAATCAAAGCCAACAATGAAAGCGATATTTTTGCAATCTGATGTCCTGAAAAATAAAACTGATGATTTTGAACTTGTAAGCAATTGTGAATGAAATGCTAACTTTCGAATTTGTGGTTCGTTGTTGTGTGGTTCGAACTTTTAATATTAGTGAACAATATAAATAAACTATGGCACTCGACTGTAGTGAACTTGCTAATCGCTATTGACAATCTACGCCCTTTTCGTACCTGAGTAAAATATTATTGTAATACTGGATTGTAATGCTTCAGGTATAATACTTCGGGAAGGTGAAAATAGCGACTACTAATAAAACTTCAGATTTTAGCTAATCTAAAATATATATTATGGGCATAAAAGTATTTGCGCATCACAATATTCTGCAGACTTAGGATTTAAGCACTTTTGAACATTTTAAGTTTTCGAATTTGAAACTAATTTTACTCAAGCTAGTCTTATATTTATGTTTAATTTGATTTTACTTTTCTTATACAGATATCTATAACACTAAGTCATTTAAGCGGCTGTATATGAGCCAAACACTCGAACACCAGTATATTCGAATATCAACAAGTTCGAAGATTCCAATTGCTTGAATAAAATTTAAAGCTTTATTATTTTTTAAAAATTTAACATGTGTATTTATTTCCAACTCGTAGTTTTACAATATATATCTATAAATTGAAATATTTTGTCACTTTTTACAAAAGCTGCCTCACTGTGCTCTGTGAATTACAAAATTTCATAATAATTGTGTGCGTTTATTTATTTTTTCAAATTTTTATATAACGCTCATCGGTTTGCCCTTGCTCCGCACTTCAGGTTTTAAGTGGATAATTATTATTATTTAATTTTTTGGTTATTTATTATATACCATATTCAGCAAGTCATTTCTTTAAGGAAACACCTTCAGGCAGTTACAATCTAAAATCAATCATATAACGAAGTTTTTTAAATTAATATTTATTATTACACCCTATATACATAGTTTAAGATCTATTATGGTTATTAGAGCAATTTGACGAAAGAACTCAATCGATCAGATTATATAGCTATAATAAAAATTAAAGAATTTGTAATAGAGTATTTCCACTATAGTGCATAGTCTTAATATTAGTATAGTATATTTCAGTAACGAATGACAATGGTACCACAACAAAATATATAGTAAGACCAGGTTTAGCAATTTTTTTAGTTTGTAATTTATTGTTGCTCAGTGGACTTTCTTGATAAAGTGGATTGTACCCATAATGTATCAAGATAGTAATTCTTAGCAATTCAAATATTCGGTTCAAATTGATATATGTAAATAGAAGTAAGTAGATGTAATAGAACATATTATTTAATAAATTTTTTTTTTGCTACAATAAATTTAGCCCATCAATTACTACAATAAAAAGTTCAATATTTATTAAGAGTTTAAGAGCGAACTGCATATGCTAAGGTTACTTTGATTTCGGTAAAATCTCGTATATCATATAATGTGATAAACAGACAACACCAATTTCCAGAGTTCAATTTATATTGATTTTAAATTTCATTTGCATAACTTGAAAAATTAAAAATACAACTTCAACGTGTGTTGTTTTAGGTCTCCAATACAATAAAAATGTGTGCTTGATAAGCGACGTCACTGTTTGAGATACTTGTATACGCTTTCGACTAGATTATCAAGCTCCTAACATTATAAAAAAATGTTGACGCTTGTTTGATAAGTCATAATAATATCGAAATTAAATTCATTGATCGGGTTTTTAATTTAAGTTACTAAAATAAAAAACACAAATTATTATAAGCAGATAATTGAGCATTTATTTTTTTGTAAACCTGTATCGCATGTTGTTACACCCTTTACATATTTATATACCATATAGGAGAGTATTTCTTTTAATGATGTTTTGCACTTTGAGTTTTTAGAAACGGGTCTTTAACTTTTATTGGAATGATAAAATTTTGCTAACCCTATTGTAAAACTCAACAAATAGAATTAATATTTAGTAAATATTCAATACCTATTACTTATTAACGTGGACAATATTTAATAAATAAATTAATTTTTGTTCAAACGTAAATTTATGTATTTATATAATATTGACAATTTATTTACCAATTTACGAGTATTCCTTACAAATTCTGTTTCGACGTGCTGATGCAAAAATCGTACATCGTATAAACTATATACTTGTATATAATTAAAACGATTATAATAGTGCATATAGCAATATTCATCTGTCTCTTTACCTATTTCAATGTTGTATATTTTTATCTAAAATTATGATCAATAAGTTTTTATTTCAATAAAACCTGTTGAGCTATATTAAGCATATATAAATATTTTGTAAAAAGCTGTCTTTGTTATTATTGAATTATAGTAATGTAAATTTTTATAATAATTCTACTATTCTTTTATATTTAATCTCTGATCTCTGGTCAATATTTGGCAATACTCGAGATAGCTGTATGGTCAGCCAAAAACTCAATTAATTAAAATAATATAAAATGAATTTTTTTTGTTGTAGTTCACTACTGTTCGAAAAATTTCTTTATATTTAATCATGATTTACTAAATCAAAATTAACTATGATACTCGTAAATGCTTTGTCCTGATTTGAATCTGAGATATTAAACATGCATTCTTTGAGGTTATTTCATACATCTATTGATAATCATTGAAAATTTCCAAATACCTTAAAATTAGTTTGTATATATGTAATTATATGTATCATGTGAATTAAAAAAAAATTATTGTATTTAGTGTCTTTTCAAATTGATATGTAAGTACACATTTAATTTGAATATTTAAAAAATATGAATTACACTCATCAGAACAAGACTTATTAAATTTATATTAAAATTAATGTATTGTATATTTCGTAAGTGTTAATGACTATAATAATAGCCTGCATGTACCGCAAGCACGAAACGCTTTAATCGCAAAGTCTTTAATTGTTTTATGTAAAGCATTCAGTATCTACGATTTCAAAACAAATTTTATTCCGGTTTCCTGCTACTTTAAATAGAGCTTGTATACATTTTCTGAATTCTAAATAAAAACTAAGACTTATGAAATTACAAATTACAAATTATTTATTGAAGTTGAGTATTTAAAATTTTGTCTAAAATTACGAGGTTTTGTAATAGCAAAATCGATTACAACCGATTTGAAACCGATGCACAAGGTTTAAATGTATACATACAGTTATAAATTTGCAATTAATTATTAATTAAAAAGCAAAAAAAGCACTAATAATAATTAAGATTAATAACAACTTTAGCATTAAAAAATGTTTAATAGAAATAATTATAAAATATCAAATTTCTAATATTATGTTAAGCTTCATTTGAAAAATCTTCGACTGAAGAATTCAAAAACAACAAATTCAACAATATATAATTTGTTATAGTGACATACATTTTATATTAAACTATCTTCGGCTAAACTTCATGACCATTTTGGGAAGATGAAGTGAACAAAAAATACTTCATTAAAACTATGTGACATAACTAAATACATACGACAGCATTAGGTCTTCAAGAACGACCGGTTCTACGTCCCGGAGCCACTCGTCGAAAACGACCAAGTGCCGTTCAACATCCCCCAAAGGGGTCACACAAGTAGATCCTGGCGGGCTACAACAACAACAACAACATTAGAACAGGCAAAAGGTAATCTTATATAAAACCATTCTGAAATCTATATTATTGATTTAATGAAGCAACGTTAAATGTAGTAAATAATTCAGGGCATCGAACTGGAACCAAACCGAAAACCGGAAAAATCGATATTTTTGCAGGAACAAAAACCGAACCAAATATATCGGTTTATTTCGGTTCAGTACCATATAGTTTGGTATCTGTGCATCTGTTTCTTTAGTTGTGGATTTTTTATTTACATATTTATTTTTTTTTGAAATATACTTTAAATTGACTCAAATTATTCCTAAAATAAGAAATATTTGCACGAGACATATGTTAACTAAATCATTTAATTTACAACTAAAATACAACACACTACTCAACCAAAAAATTCTGGTTTGATGCCATGATATAATTCCAGGCTTTTGTATTAAATTTACTTATTAATTTCTCAAACGCTCTAGTAAATTACTGAACTCTTATTGAAAAACAGCAATAGAAACTCGCTTCAAAGGACGATTGCATAAAAAATGATAACTAAAAAATTGTTTCAAAATAATAAGATATTAATTATAATAAGATCAGTAAAAATTTTGGGAAACAATAGGTTTTTCGAAAACCTCTCTTCATTCTACAAAAAGAAAGTGCTTTAAAACAACATTTTTTTTAAACTCTAAAACAGACACCTAGACAGAACAAAGTACGATTAGTGAATTGAAGACTAATATGTTATATGATATACTGTATCCTATATACATACGTATATATGTATAAGATGTATTACACAAATCATTTATAAGATATTACACTTTTCATTTCTAGAGAGATGGGAAATCATATTTAAAAAAGCGTTATTGAATGTTTAAAAAATACTATATTTGAACGAGTTCAGTTATTTAACTTAATCCACTTATTCGCCAAGCGATCATTTCTTCTTGAACCTTATTAGCGAAAAGTAGTACTTTTAGAGTTTCAAATCAAGAGACATTAATCACAAAAATGCTTTTATCGTAAGTAATTCCGCCTTAGCGCTAAGTAACTAAAAAAACTAATAAAAATTATTTAAAGAATAAGAAAAATGTGGAAACAAAATATGTTTATTGTTTTATAAGTGTTCCAAATCTATTGTATGAACTCACCTTTCATTTAATTTTGTGTTTTTATTTTTTTTATTTTGAGGTCGGTTAAAACTGTTTGTACATGAGTAAGAAGTTTGTTTTGGTAAAATACAATGATGTGATTTTAAAGCACCCGCAGAATTGATTCCTGCACTTGCAACCGTTGACGTTGATTCGCACACGGGCTCATTGGCTGCAAAATGAAATCCGTTACAATACGATTGGGTATAATCGGTAGGTGCGCTGAGTTGCCGATTAAATTCGGTTTTTCGACGCGTTATATCGGTGAGAAAGTGTTTGTTTAAATGTCCATTGCTTGATAATGAACTTTTCGGAGATATTGCATAAGGTTGTGTTGCATGCAGCTTATTGCATGAATTTGTACTCACACTTAAGTTTGCATTACCGGTAAACAAGTTACAGTTTTTGTTGTTTATTTTGCTTGGTTTAAACTTATTACTGAATGAGGAATTAGTACTGTAGTCTTTTATATCACTTTTCACTGTAGACCGATATGTGGGATAGGATTTGACTGAACCGTTTACTACAAGTTGTTGATATCTAGTTACTGCCGAAACCGCTGGCAATTGCCGTGCGCAGTTTCCAGATGGTGAGTTAGAAGAAATAGAACCCGTCACTGAAGAACGCGTATGACTTTGCTGAACACTTTTTTTCTCAACTAAATACAAATTAAGATATTTGTCTCCTGGATGCAATGAATTATCTGAAACTGCATTCGTTTTACTTATAATTTGATTTTTTTTTTTAACTGTACGTGTTTTTAATGATAAATTTCGTAATTTTTTTGATTGCTCTTTAATCTTATTTGCTTTTATAAACGGCGGACTATTTGCGATACATTTAAATATATAAGTTTTATTTACTAATTGTTGTTTGTCACCTCCATACTGATTATTATCGTGCTCAATTTTGAGGTTCGTTAAATGTTGCCCTGAATGTGGTTTAGGATAAATATTACAGTCACTGTAGTGGCTTTTTAAAAATGAGGAAGCGTCCCTATCTTCCAAATTACTATAACGCGTAATCGGATCTGATTTACTAAAATTATGTACAACAATGTTTCTAAGATCGCTGTGTGTATATTTATTACTCTCATTAAGTTCAAAACCCGTGCATTCGTTGAAGTCATCACAGGCGGACGGAACACCACCAGTACTACTGCTGGTAGCACAACTATTAGGGCTATTTGAAGCTAGATTTGTGTTGGTACAGTCAAGGTAGTTATGACTTTTACCAGCTAAGGACAGCACCTGTGGATATTGTCCATAATTATAACTTTCATAAGAACTCTGCTTTGATATGCCGCAATAATTGCTAGTTGTATGATCGTTCTGAATCAATGGCTGCTCATCAGCTCTAATGTTAGATAACCCATCACAGTCCACGCTGTATATATTTGATGATGCAGGATTTTTTTCACCACTACCATTTGATATTAAAAGTTCACTTTCTGCTTTTGAGCGATCACCATGGAGGTTATGAACAGCTGTAACAGACACGATAGTTGTCGTACATTTAAGAGATTCACAACTACACGAATTAGACTTTTGTAATTTACTGCTTTTAAGTGGAGTTAATAATTTAGTTTCTGTTGCCTTCTGCGGCGTTGTAGAACTATTTAAGTCGTAATTGCAATTACTACTGTTAGTGTTGTGTGCGCTCGTAAGATTAATTAAAGACTGTCGAAGCAAATATTGATGAGAATGTTGTTGCTGGTGATATTGTTGCTGTTGCTGGAATTGTTGATTCTGTTGATCGCTGCTCACATTTTCTCTACTTACACTGCAAAACACACAAGAAGAAATGGAGAAATTTAAGAAATTTTTTTTTGTAAGACAATAAAAAAATACATAAATATTTTATCCATATATGTATATGTATATAAAAGTCCATTTACATTATTTAAACTGAATTTTTAAAAGCTTAATACCAGCAAGCGCAACTACTGAATGAATATAAAGTGTAGCACATATTGAGCACATACGCAAATTATACGTTAGAATTTAATACAGATAAAAAGATCATATGTAAATATATGAACAAACATATACTAATATGACTTCAATTTTATAAATGGATAATTAATTCGAAATAGTAAATTTGAAGAGTATTACTATTGAGAACATTTTAAAACAGAGCGGAATAATATAAAACTTTTCAGTAAATTGATTTAGTTCATAATATTGAGTGTAAATATTTTCCATTGTAAACATTTTAATTTCTTCGTAAGAATTTTAAAAATATTGCAACTAACTGATCTGCAAATTACGTGTGCAATCTATTATTATAGCTGTTTGTACCCAAAACAATTAGTAGGAATTTAATTTTTAAAATTCAAAAAGATGGAAATATTTACAAATAACAACTTCATGGATAATAAAAAAAAAATTGAAAATAGAAGCATTAAAAAATATGTTATATATATTTTATATATATACCAAAATTGGAAGTTACTAAAATATAGAAATATAGAATTTTATATATATATAAAATATATATATAAAATTATAAATTAACCATGTAAAATTTGTCACATGTCTATCTGTGAGATTGTTTATAAGCAGATGATTTCGGCATTTGAAAAAAAATTTATAAATATCGATATAAAGCTTTGAAAATAATAAACAGATTCATTTTATGTGTATGGTTCTAAAAAAAACTTTTTGTTTATTAGTTTACTAATCCCTTTTAGTTTACTATACTTATATAATCAAAAATCAATGATCTTATACATTTCTGGTGCAATCAGTCAAAGGAAATTATTAGCAAATAATATTATTTGTATATTTGTATATATAATAATTATAACAAATCAAATTAAAGAACAGTAAATACCATAAGGAAAGTTATTAATTAATTTTAGATTCTATTTTGTAGAAAAACAGTATTTGTAAATATTACTAACGGATTCTATATAGTAGAATATTTTTTAATATTCTATTATACACAACTAATTATCTAATTTAATATATTGAATAAATTTGCAATATATATAATGTATGTTTTCAGCTATACGAGGGCCGTTTAATAAGTCGGCGACAACTGTTATTTAGTACAGTTTTAAAATATTTGTTAATTTTTTTAATTTAGCATAATTTAAATACTTAAATCTGGATTATTTCTTTATTATGGGAGCTTTTTATGTCTTAAAATCTGTTTAACGTATTTGCAGTTATAGTGCAAAAACATATTCGCACAATTTTTACTACTGAAAGTGCATGATCAAAATGATCAGCTTATGAGCAACTCGTTTCCTCCCAACTTGCACATATAATCACTATAAAACAATGTTTAAAATATCTACGTTTAATCTAAGAAGACCCAACATTAATTTATGATTAGAGGATTAAGATAAGATATGAGTACGACAACAAACACTTCTCATTTCTTGTGATGAATGTACTCTTAAAAGATGAAGACGATTCCATCAGAGGATAAAGTTATGACTTCTTTTTTAAAACCCGAATACGCCTGGAATAAAACTAATTACATGTATCTAAAAAAGCTAAACACTATCAAGGTCATATTATACAACGCTTTTATATCACTTAAATAATAATATTAATATTTTCACCATTTCTATGCACCAGCAGATTAGTTATGAATTCCTACCACACCTACTGTATTCACCAGACTTTGCTCACTATGACTTTTATTCGACATAATTGGAGTACTATTAGATTAAGGGCTTTTTTTTAACATATAAAAAAGCGCTTTAAAATATATGTAAATAAAATTATGTAAATATTTCTTTTACATAATAAGGATAAAATAAAATAGCGGAAAAATATTGAAGTTTACATACAGGTGAGTAATGTATGTAGTTAGTTTAGTTTTTTTTATTAGGTATAATATTTACATTTAATAAATATTTTATTTTTCCGGCAATGACTGATATAGTCGTTTGCCATAGGTTTAGTTTGATTGGTAATAAATTCAATAATTAATTAAATAAATATTTACAAATAGTGACACCCAATTCTGATCAACATTTTTTTTATACAGATAATTCCCTTTTCATTTAACATAGGGCATTCTCCCAAAACATTCTTCTTTATTTGCAAATTATACTCTAAATTGTTGTTTCGTCTACAAAAGACATATAATAAAGTTTTGAAAGTTCTTCTTTTGTTTTCAATCTGGTGCTTTTTCTTTCGATAGCATTCAGATGCAATTCGCTGCAAATGACATGTTAACTTTCGCTCTTCATCTATCTGAAGTTATAAGATCAAATAAAATTACCGGTGAAATTATTAAAGGGCTACTTTAAATTGCAATCACTCTCATTTTGTACATATATTGTAGCATGTTTCGCCTTTTCTAGCTCCACAAATCATGGAAGTTTTGATACAATTCCGAATACTTTTGGAATAACATACGAGAGCCTGTAGTGGTCTTATACAAGCCTGTAAGTGTAATGTTATCATTGAAAAATCATTACTTAAAACAATTAAAATTGGCATGTATCCACAACACCAATTTGAATTTTAAAACAATACGTTGAATTGTCTCACATGTGAAATTTGAAATTAAAAAAATACTGCACTGCTCTTTTCCTAGATGGCATTTGATAAGGTTTAGAAAGCCTTAAGTAAGAGTTAAGTACTATTATATCTTCCAACATTTATAACATACTAAAAATCTTCCAATTCTTTCGAAACCTTCGACTGCATCAAAAAATTATACCTTCGATAGTTACTCCATTCTTGTTGAAGTTCCATAACGAAGTGTGTTGGAACCAGAAAGCTACAATGAGTACTCAACACTCGATTCATGGCTATATTTCATTAATGCACATTCTATATTCGACTCCATCTGATTCATACATACAGCTGATAACACTTATAATGATTTATACTCTTCTGATATGATACTCATAAACACCGACACCAAAATGATGAAAGTGACATGAATCATTCATGAGTATCACCTCACAGTCAGCAAATATTTGCCTGCTATTGCTTAGTTTTCAACTAAAACAACAACCGTTTGCTAAAGCCGACCGAATAGGAAGTCATTCATTTATAATGAGTGCATTTATTGATTCATACCACTCAAGTATATACTATGATTTATGAGTGATGAGTGATTTGCAATTTACCAGGACTCGTTCAAGTCCTAATACTATCACAATAATAGCTGTGTTTCAGCAAACATGATCCGCTCAATGATCTGAATCATCTTTGCTGAAACGATACGGATCACGTTTGAAAATAATTGGCAACGCATGAAATATGACAGTTGGGTTTGTGTACAAAATTTTTTGATTTATGTGAATAATTTTGGCGCTAAAAAAATAAGTGAGAAAATTTTGAATACAGAAAATCTAAAAAATGGAAAATAAATAAAATCTGTTGATATGTCTGAAATATGAAACTTCAATTTAATTCTATAGTAAATAAATGGAAATTGCAGATTTTATTAGAATTATCGAGCAAAACTGACTCCTCCATTTTCTTTTTAAACACTAGTCCAAGTGTATTAAGCTCAAGGGATGAAGTGCATCCATGCTATATAGTGGAAATTTTATGGAAACGATCAATAATTGTTCCCATAAAGACTATTTGATTGGTATTTGCGCATAAAAAATACAATTGCTATATATTAATTATGTTTCATATTTTAATAGATTTGTTAATAAAATCCAATCAGCAAATACACAATAACCGTGGTGGTCACAATTGAACGAGAGCAATGAAGGAAATTTATATATTTTTGTAGTATATGGCATATATAAATACTTTTCGCAAATTTGGTATTTGTTTTGGCATTCCAAGAGCTTCTGTGTGGGGAATAATTAAAAAACTAGTGTTTAGCTTATATCAATTGGACACTAATTTAAAATACGCACTTGCTAATAATGCAAAAATGGAAGCTTCGAAAAAATTCCCATTCGTAATTGGTTGCATAGACAGTACACATCTAAAAATAAATGCACCAAACCATAGCAAATAGGCTTATTTCAAAAGACTATGGCTTATTCTTGCAGGCAGTTTGCGATGAAAATGATTTTTTTATAAACGTATATGTTGGAGAGCCTGGTTTCTTATGTATTGTTCTGTTTTAATTAAATAAGTTGAATACATAACTTAATTTATATATATGCATTTCAAATTAATTGATTTTAATAAATTATCAAACAACACTTTTTCAATGATAATAAAACGCAAATAAATAAGGTAATGATTTTAATTATAGTAATAGTTAAAACATTATTTTAAACAAAGAAATAAGTAATAACGACATATTAAATAAATAAGTACATAAAATAAATAATAAATAAATAAAATCAATAATAAATAAATATAAATGTAGATTTATTTATAATTTTACTGCACCGTTGCATCGCATTGCCAACCTCATTTGCATTAAAATACGTTCCACTTTTATCTTTTACACACATTCCACATTGAACCAGAAAGTGAACCAGATCAATTGCTGGTTCACCCCATTGTTTTTGTTTTGCATGTAAAATTGAGCGGATCATGTTTGCTGAAACACAGCTAATGCTGCAGTAGCAATTAAGTGAAGTGGACCAAGGGCTAATTAAATGTAGAATTATTGAAATATATTTAAATTACGTTTTGTCCTTTAAAAAAGAAGTCTTGTTCTTTCTTTATTAAGGAAAAAATTATTTCCCAAAGACATTCTATTAACTATCTGCGATTATCGCTGGACAGAAAATTGACATTAAGAAATCTTTTAGTTAAAAAACAATACAATCAAAACTAAATCAAAACTTAGTTTAAAGAACAAAATCCTCTTATTTAACATAACGATAAAACCATGCTGAACGTATCTGTAGAGTTTTCTGATATGCAAATAATATAATATTTACAAGGACCTTTTATTCAATATGACAAAAAAGTAAAAAGTTGAGAAATTAGACAATAGTTATATGTTCAAATTATTAAAATCCCTAACAACCTACCTGAAAACTCTTAATAAGGCACTGACCAAAGAGATTAAAAAGAAAGGGCTTTAAGTTCTTAAACTCAATTACAAATAATAGATGAGAACGCACCAGGTTAACTGTTTGTTAACCTGATGTATACATCCCTCGTATAGTTACTTTTTGCTTTGTTTTCCACTGACTTTTTTCTAATACCCTTTTCTGCCAAAATCTGCATTTTTCCATATCACCCATATCACGAATCTCATCATATTCACCATCATTCGGGCTTTTGTTACTTATTCGAAATATCACAATTTTAAATTGTAGTTGTTTGTCGGTTCATATAACT